ACACACACACACACACACACACACACACACAAATGCTGGCTTACAGAGAGTGAGGCACTCTTACTTTATCAAGCTGCAGGTGATCCAGAAGCCTCCTGAAGCCGTCACAGAACTCCATGAGATCCCAATAGACAGGATACTGCAGCTGGAAACACAATTAACACTGGTTCATTCAGAAAACGTAAAGTGGTCAGATCACATGACCATGGTGGATTATTTACATTGTAACTGATATCAGTCTTTAAAGTACAATGTGTAGAATTGTGTGATATCTAGTGTTGAAATTGCATGCTGCAGCTGAACACCCCTCACCTCACCTCTCCTTCCAAACATGAAAAAGAAACTGTGGTAGCCTTTAATTCTCATAAAAACTCTCAAAAGGTGTTTTCAGTCTGGACTAATGTAAAAAGCATGGCAGCCTCCGTAGAGTGGGTCCCCTCGATGTAAATATAAAGTATTTGAATATAAAGGGCATTTTCTGAGGTAAAGAAAACAATAATTCATACAATTTAGATGAAACGAACTCGTGAAAACATCATGAGAATTATTCTACATTAAATATCTGCCAATAGTTCCCTTTCACCTAAATCTTACACACTGGACCTTAAATTACATTTCCCTCATTAAAAAATAAGATTTTGTTAAGTAATCCTGCTTTGAAACCAGACTACAGACCTTTCTACAGCATTTAACTGAAATTGTGGGCCCTAGTATTTTTCCAAATGCTTCTTGATAGGGTCGACATTTGAAACTTAACAAGAAAAAGTTTGAGAACCTTTTGGAATGACACAACATAAAATGTGTTCTGATCTAAAGACAAGTACAGACAAACACAATGTGCCAAAGTCAACAACGCAATTCTAATCTTGCATGTCTTTACTGATCAAACAGATTAAACATTCACTGTGGAAAAATAAGTGAACCCTTGGGTTTATTAACTGGCTAAACTTAAAACCAGCACTTCTATTAGGATTGGATCAGACCCGCACATTTTTCAGTATGAGTTCTGCACCATTCTCTCTACATAACTGCCTCAGCTCAGACTCAGGATAGCTGGTGAAAACAGCTCTCTGACCTCATTCAATGGCAAGGATACACTGTATTCTTAAGTGTGAAGGGGAGTTTTCTCTGTATTTACTTTCATCAATAATGAATCAAAGAGACTGGTTAAAATGCATTTTTCAACCTTCTCCCTCAACAATACTACCCCAACCTTTTCTTGTGTTCACCTCACATAACCAAGGACTATTTCTTGAATAGCTAACAGTTCACTACTGGCTTTTCCAAACATTCAGGACTTGGGCCAATCTGGACATATTGGAAACATGGGGGAGTCCGGATCACAACCTGTGATTAAGCTTTTTTAGCTGTAGATTTGTTAGGCTTGAAACAAATGAGGTGGCTAGTACAGAGAGCAGAGTTGCTGGTTGTAGCTTGTTAGTTAACATTATTGTGAAGTATGTTTGCTAATTTTAATCAGCTGTAGGGCCACTTTCGTATGATCTTGTGGGAAAATATGGCAATTGATCTCAAAATATTGAGCACTGGTCAAGTGTGGAGGGGGATTTATGACTAAAATCTGTTAAATTATGTTATGTTAGCGAACATTATTGTAAAGCGTGTTCGTTAACTTCAATCAGCTGTAGTGCCACTTTACTAAAAAACTGTGTAGAATGAAATCAGATTTATGATTGTAAATTACATTACATACAAGGGCTGCACAATATTAGTAAAATATACAATATGCGATAACATTGTTAAATATTGCGATGATGATATGACTTGTGATAAATAAACAAGTCTTTCTGCTTTGGGCACAAAGCCCAGCCACAACCCCACCAAATCAGGGGCAGACACCCAGGGAGCTATTCACGCTCCACTAAGTACACTTACAGTGCTCATTGGGGTCTTTTTTTTTTTTTTACAGTTTTTAGCGGCTCTGTCAGTACTTTACTGCTTCTCTCTGTGTCTCTATCATAGGCGCTGTGCACTGTGAGCCGAGCGTGCCCCACCATCTCAACGGGCTCTCCAAACATTGACTAGGTTTACAGATTCTGTTGTTTTTAATGTCACTCAAGATTCAGTGGCACTGCACAAAGTCTAGAGGTGTTCCACAGCCTGATTCTCCCTTCGCAATAAAGAGTATAATTTTCCCATTAATGGTAATGGTGTGCAGGCAATATACACCATCATTTATTTTATAATATCTTATGGTTAGTTACTAGTTACTGTAATATCTTATTTAAAAGTTACTGATTAGTGGATAATACATCTACAGACAAAATTAACTTGTGTGTCTTGTGTTTTTCTTTTTTCTGTCTATTATTGTAGGTTGTACCTTGCAGCCATGCATTACAATGAAAATGCAGCTTGCAAGCCAACAATAACATCCACAGGGCAACCAGTCTACAGAGTTGTGTTCCACAAGTAGGAAAAGAGGCCCAACATACAGTAAGTTGCTTTTACTGTTTTTTTTACAATTACATACAAAAAAATTCAAATATGATTCTTTGAATAAAATATTTAAAAGATTACACCAAATTGGGGAGGAGTTGAAAAAAAATCCTTAACCCCTTGAATCTGGTATCCCAATGTTACAGACCCTCAAAGCAGGAAGTGGTTGCCACAAGTCACACTTCAGTCAAGGGGCAGTTGGAAGACAACATCAAAAACTCAAGAAACTCCTGGCTGATAAAATTTTGCAGTTGTATCTCATCACATATGTAAGTATTAAGACTTTAATGATCCTATGTTGGGGAAATTCAATTGTTAAAGCAGCAGATAGTGAGAATGAGGTAGACAAGAGAATATGCACATAATATACAACTTTCACTATGCCAATATTATTTGTAGAGAAATATTCTTAAGGTGCAGAGGCACAGAATAATTGCACGAGGATGTACATTATATTAAAGCATTACTTTCAGGAGATATTGAAATAAATGTATACATAACATGCATATTAGACTGTCATAAGTTATAGTAAAGTATGGTATACAAAATGAAAAAGAGTATAAAAGGCTATGTGCCTTATAAATATGAAAAAATTACAAATATCCCCTTTATTGTGGTAATACAATAAACTCAAGAGGTAATGTAACTGCCTATGAAAAATATTGATCCAACAAGAAACATTTGTTTTACTGTCGAAATGGTAATATAATTTTTGGCTTTATATGACACATTTAAAACAAAAATTTGCAATCTGTAAAATTGCTCATCAAGAATCCAAACAAACTAGGCTTTTTAAAAATCACAATCACTTTCCTAGTGTTTTCAAACACATTTCAAGTTGGATATTTCAACCACAATCTATAACTCCATCACGGCCCTGCAGGCATTGGTAGATGCTCAACATGAAACTGTCGATTCATTCCAGGGACTCCTCGCTGGAGAAGAAAGCACCACAAGTGCCTCAAGACATTGATGATATAGGCATACGGAAACTGTGAGTTTTCGTCGAACACCATGTTAGAGCAGGCCGTCAAACTTCAACAAGTCGCCATGACACACGAAAATGCTTTAACTTCAGTGAAGATTGTTCAATCTCACTCAAATTACATTTGTGTAACAACAGCCTGAAGACATTCATATGGATTTAAGAAATGGGTGTGGAAAATTAACTGAAAAGCGCCCCCTAAAGTGCAGCCCCAGCAGCACGATTGACCGATATGTACAAAAATCAGTAGGGACATGTGTTTTTTCATTATGAACAAAAAACTCAGCCAGTTTTGACCATTTACACATGTTGTATTCGAACGAACTTCTCCTAGAGCTTTCATCAGACCAACTTTAAATTCGGTAAAGTGTCACCTCAACAACATGGAGATTAAAACTACCTCAATTTTTTGTGTGCATCACATGGTCTGACCATGGCGAGGCAACAAAGTTTGATGATTCTCCAAAAAAGAGTTTTTATGTTTTTAAGAGGATTTATTATAACTCCACTGTGCATTGTCGAATCAGCCTCAAAACCCATAATATTGACTCATCGTCACAACGCCACATGCTGGCAACAGGGCGTGACTTGTTGTATTCTTTGAAGCACTGCTGATGGCTGCTTTATAATATACAGCTCAAAAAAGTAATAGGAACATGGTCAGGATTGTGACATTTCTTCAAATCATGTAAACATTGAGGTGCAGAGAAGGTTAATCCTTCACCAAAGGAGACAGAGTTGTCATAACTCCACTTTGCATTGTCCAATCAGCACCAAATTAAAACCTTTGATCAGAGAATTGGCCTGAACAGCTCCATGTGTCAAAGTTAACTCAAGATCATTGTGCCACCTACTGATTTGCCATGAAACAGGGATTTCTATTTAATTCCACTGTGCATTGTCCAATCATCACCAAAATTAAAAACTATGGTGACAGTCCCGGCCTGTACAGCTCCTTATGTCAATATTAACTCAGGGTCATTGCGCCACCTACTGAACAGTGTGAAAATTGGGTTGTATTTATCTCCACTGTGCATTGTGCAATCATCACCAAAAATAAAACCTAAGTTCATTGTCTGGGCCTGAACAGCTCCATATGAGAGAACTTATACAGGGTAATAGTGCCACTTACTAATTAGTGGGAGAATGTAGTTGTTTTTAACAACACTGTGCATTGCCCAATCGGCACCACAGTTAAAACCTATGATCAGAGACGCAGCCTGAACAGCTCGTGGTGTCAAAAGTAAGTCAAGGTCATAGAGCCACATACTGAACTGCATGAAAATTATGTTGTATTTATCTCCATTATGCATTGTCCAATAGGCACAAAAATTTAAACCTAAGTTCAGAGTCCAGGTCTGAACTACTCCATGTGTCAAAATGAAGTCAGGGTCATAGCGCCACCTACTAATTCGACATGAAACAAGAAGTTGTATATAACTCCACTGTACATTGTCCAATTGGCCTCAAATTGGTCACGCTTCATCAGAGCCCTGACCTGAACAGACCTATCAGTCTGTATGTAGTGATAGTGATAGCCCCTTCTATTGGCAACAGGAAGTAAGCCTTGTTTTACAACTTTAGTTTGATTTACATAACATTTTTACCTTGTGGTCTGCACTTGATGGCATGGACCATGATGCGTGATTGGTGGGCTTGGTTCAGAGTTCCATGACAGATGCAGGATGTGAAGTGTTTATCTTTCC